CATCGACAGAAAGCCTATTGACGGTAGATTCCAAAAATACAACTCTCAGACCGTGCCAAATTCTAGTTTCTGCTACAGGAGCCTTGAAATTCAATAGAACATAAGGTTCGAAACAGCATAATATTAACTTTCACGTATTTTTCAATTACACAGCTGGAAAAACCTGCTTTTTACTTCCACGGACAAGTCTACTGATGCATGAGTAAAGCATTGACAGAAAGCCTATTGCTCATAGATTCCAAAAATACAATTTTCAGACTAGCCCAAATTCGGGTCTCTGCTATAGGAGGCTTGAAATTCAATAGAACATAAGGTTCGAAACAGCATGCATAATACTAACTTTCACGTCTTTTTCGATTACACAGCTGGAAAACTTGCTTTTTATGTCCACAGACTCTCTAGTTCTACAAGAATGAGGCATCGACAGAAAGCCTATTGACCGTAGATTCTAAAAATACAACTCTTAGACCGTGCCACATTCTAGTTTTTGCTACAGGAGCGTTAAAATTCAATAGAACATAAGGTTCGAAACAGCATAATATTAACTTTCACGTCTTTTTCGATTACACAGTTGGAAAAACCTGCTTTTTACCTCCACAGACAAGTCTACTGATGCACGAGTAAAGCATCGACAGAAAGACTATTGATCATAGATTCCAAAAATACAACTTTCAGACTAGCCCAAATTCGGGTCTCTGCAATAGGAGGCTTGAAATTCAATAGAACATAAGGTTCGAAACAGCATGCATAATACTAACTTTCACGTCTTTTTCGATTGCACAGCTGGAAAACTTGCTTTTTATGTCCACAGACTCTCTAGTTCTACAAGAATTAGGCATCAACAAAAAGACTATTGACCGTAGATTCTAAAAATACAACTCTCAGACCGTGCCAAATTCTCGTTTTTGCTACAGGAGCCTTGAAATTCCATAGAACATAAGGGTCGAAACAGCATAATATTAACTTTCACGTCGTTTTCGATTACATGCACATCGGGAAAACTTGCTTTTTATTTCCACGAACTGTCTAGTTATACAAGAATGAAGCATTGATAGAAAGCCTGTTCAACGCAGATTCCAAGAATACAATTTTCAGGCCGTGCCAAATTCAAGTTTTGGAATTAGGGGGCTCGAAATTCAATAGAACATAAGATTCGGAACAGCATAATATAAACTTTCACGTTTTTTTTCGATTAGACACCTCGAAAAACCTGCTTTTCACCTGGGCAGACAAACCTAGTGATGCACGAGTAAGGCATCAGCAGAAATTCTATTGATTATAGATGCAAAAACTATAATTTTCAGACCAGCCCAAATTCAACTGTCTGCTACAGGGGATCTTGAAGTTCAATAGAACAAATGGTTCGAAACAGCATAATATTAACTTTCACGTATTTTTCGATTACACATCTGGAAGGAACTTGCTTTTCATTTCCAAGAACTGACTAGTCATGCAAGAATGAGGCATCGACGAAAAGCCTGTTGATCGCAGATTCCAAAAATACAATTTGCAGACCGTGACAAATTCAAGTTTTGGTACAAGGGGCCTTGAAATTCAATAGAACATAAGGGTCGAAACAGCATAATATTAACTTTCACGTCGTTTTCGATTACATGCACATCGGGAAAACTTGCTTTTTATTTCCACGAACTGTCTAGTTATACAAGAATGAAGCATTGATAGAAAGCCTGTTCAACGCAGATTCCAAGAATACAATTTTCAGGCCGTGCCAAATTCAAGTTTTGGAATTAGGGGGCTCGAAATTCAATAGAACATAAGATTCGGAACAGCATAATATAAACTTTCACGTTTTTTTTCGATTAGACACCTCGAAAAACCTGCTTTTCACCTGGGCAGACAAACCTAGTGATGCACGAGTAAGGCATCAGCAGAAATTCTATTGATTATAGATGCAAAAACTATAATTTTCAGACCAGCCCAAATTCAACTGTCTGCTACAGGGGATCTTGAAGTTCAATAGAACAAATGGTTCGAAACAGCATAATATTAACTTTCACGTATTTTTCGATTACACATCTGGAAGGAACTTGCTTTTCATTTCCAAGAACTGACTAGTCATGCAAGAATGAGGCATCGACGAAAAGCCTGTTGATCGCAGATTCCAAAAATACAATTTGCAGACCGTGACAAATTCAAGTTTTGGTACAAGGGGCCTTGAAATTCAATAGAACATAAGGGTCGAAACAGCATAATATTAACTTTCACGTCGTTTTCGATTACATGCACATCGGGAAAACTTGCTTTTTATTTCCACGAACTGTCTATTTATACAAGAATGAGGCATCTATAGAAAGCCTGTTCAACGCAGACTCCAAAAATACAATTTTCAGACCGTGACAAATTCACGTTTTGGTACAAGGGGCCTTGAAATTCAATAGAACATAAGGGTCGAAACAGCATAATATTAACTTTCACGTCGTTTTCGATTACATGCACTGCTGAAAAAACTTGCTTTTTATGTCCACGGACTGTCTAGTTATGCAAGAATGAGGTATCGGCAGAAAGCCTATTGATAGTAGATTCCAATAATAAAATTTTCAGACAGTGGTAAAGTCAAGTTTTGCTACAAGGGGCCTTGAAATTGTGTAGAACATAAGATTCGAATTTAAAGCATATATATAATATTAACTTTCACGAACCTTGTCCTCAGCGTCAGGAACCTTGTCCGCAACGTCAGGAACATTGTCGTCAACGTCAGGAACCTTTTCCTCAACGTCAGGAACCTTGTCCTCAACGTCAGGAACCTTGTCCTCAACGTTATGGGAACCTTGTTCTCAACGTCAGGAACCTTGTCCTCAACGTCAGGAACCTTGTCCTCAACGTCAGGAACCTTGTCATCAGCGTCAGGAACCTGGTCCTCGACGTCAGGAGCCTATTCCTCAACGTCAGGAGCCTATTCCTCAACGTCAGGAACTTTGTCCTCAACGTCAGGAACCTTGTCCTCAACGTCAGGATCCTTGTGATCAACGTCAGGAACCTTGTCCTCAACGTCAGGAACCTTGTGCTCAAGGTGAGGAACCTTGTCCTCAACGTCAGGAACCTTGTCCTTAACGTCAGGAACCTTGTCCTCAGCGCCAGGAACCTTGTCCTCAACGTCAGGATCCTGGCCATCAACGTCAGGAAATTTGTCCTCAGGGCCAGGAACCTGGTTCTCAACGTCAAGATCCTGGTCATCAACGTCAGGAACCTTGTCCTCAACGTCAGGAACCTGGGTTACCATTTTTTGTTACTCAACTTTTTTGGCGATTTTTGGCCTATTTTTTAGAAATAAATAAAAGGTCTAAAATGGATGAAATACTGTACAATCCCTTCCTTTTTTTTCCAGTTTTTTCCCGCTTTTTCAAAAATAAAAAAATGGACGAAAAATTAAGGCTATAGCCTTACTTTTTTGCCATTTTTTTAAAAAAGATGTTCAAAAAGTAAAAGCTGACCACTTAACTTTTTCTCGACAAGCCACAAGGGCTATATTTTTATTTTTTACCATTACTCTTTGTCAGCAAAATGTCGAAGTACTAGCATTTTCAGGCACTCTTTCAATATGGTCAAGGGTACCCCTGGCTGAATAGTTTTTTTCCATAAAAGATAGGAGCTAACACCTTTAGTTTTGCAAAATTAACCAAAGGGCAATAATGGGTTATGTACCACAATACTTACTCGCCCGCTGGCCGTATTCCTTACTACAATTGCTTGTGCTTATAGCTTAACGCATTGAGTGGGAGCACTCTCTCCTTGACGAGTAAAGGCGTCTGACGTAAAATAATATGACGTTATACCAAGTAAAATAATAGAGTAAGGGGCATAAATCAGGGCGCATTGCTGCTTAAAAGGATCAAGAGAATCTAAGCTGATTTTCTCACTTTTTTATTGAAAATGTGGTGAATAAATGCATTAATTATCATATACAGAAATAAAATTATAGTTTGTATAATACCTAATTTGGTAAGGTTTGTTTGGTTTTAGTTTTCGATGACTTAGATGGATTGATGCACTCTATTCATTATCTTATATACAGTACTTTCATGACATTCTAAGGGTTTCTCATAATGTCTGAATGATAATTAAGCTTTCTTTTCTTGTCAAGCCCAAATCTGTTTTTAGAAAACATGTCACTTTCATAAAGCATCAAAACATTATCCATGTTGATCTGTCTTGCCTGGAAAAGAAAACATTGTATTTAGTTTGTATTCCACCTTAGATTGACTCAATGGTTTGAAAAGCTGAGAGGATGCTGTGGTCCCCTGCCTTGGTATTTCATCGAATTTTGTACATGTTTTGTTTGGAGTGATTTGGGGAAAATTTTGAATTATTAAAAAAATAACTCAAAAACCGGCATCATTGTGCCCCCCCCCGTATTTAACCAAAATTTTAAAATTTGGTAAAACATGTTCTTACAATTTGAAAGTCATCATTTTGACCAAAGAACACATTTTCGATCACTTCCAGAAGGTTGACTGGAGTGATTTGGGGGAATATTTGAATTATTGAGGAATAACTCAAAAACCTGGACGAGTTGCTGTGTTCTCCCCCCCCCCCCCTGGGAAGCCGCACAGTGCCTCGGAAGGTCGTCTCCCATTGGATGGTTTTTTTTAAAGAACGAAGCAATTCATTGTTGTAAACATAAAAGCAATTGTCAAATCGAGCCAATGAAAATCACTCTTCCGAGCTACTGCGAGGCTACCCCCCCGGCATTTGATTAAAATGTTCAAATTTTGCAAAACATGTTTTTATAAGTCGAAAATGATTGTTTTGATAAAAGAAAACATTTTTGATCACTTCCAGAAGGTTTGGAGTGCTTTGGTGCAAAATTTGAATTTTTGAAAAATACAGTATGCTGTAAACAATTCAATAGGCAATTCCAGCTTTTAGTTTATGCGTGCAGGGGACGATGGGAAGTAAGGTATCATATTGCTGATTACGCTGCGAAGACCTATGTTGTCCCCCAACATTAGGAAGTTTGGCATCCTAGAACGGCAACCACAGAATAAAGATCAGTAACAGAAGGGCCACTCAGCGGTGCAACGTGTCCTCGTTTTTTTTTTATGCAAAAATATGCAGTTTACTGGCCAGAAGGCGGAGCAGCCAGCCAGTGCAGCGTGTTTATTGGCCAGAGAATGTCATTGACCGGCTAGGAAAATGGCGGCCAACATGCGTAATGCGACATGCGCGAGGACAGAAACTTCAAAGTCACCGACGTACAGTAAGTGGCCCTTCTATATGGGGTAATACGAATTAACTGTTGCGGTGGTCATGCACCGTGAAAATGTGCAAATCGCGTACCAGTTTCAACAACTGCGGCATTGCACAAAACTTAAGACCATGTAATTTACATTCGCTTTTGTCCTTGACGATAAATGCTACCTGTATTGTTGATGACCACGTTGCCGTTCTATTTTCCAAACTCCCTAATTTGGCAAAAAACGGCGACTCCTGTAAACACCGAAAATATCATGAGTCGCCAATATTGAAAAGAGGTAACAGGAGAAAATTCTAGGTGTCATGCCTTGCGCAGGAAACAATGGTTGCTGGTTGCCAATATAAAAAAATATTGCATGGGCAGTTGCATTGTTGGTATAGGTAAGACACAAATGGAAGATTAAATCTAGTTGACTACCGTACTTTGATATGCATATTTTCAATCTTTCGGTCTCGGCCGCACGTTATAATGCAAATATATGCCAAAGCAGAACGTACCATTTGGAGCATTCAACGAACATACTTCATCTAAGGTATTCCTGCATCAATCCTGATAGGATCATCCAGATTAACGTCTAAATGAGGATCATTTTCAATCCGTCCAGATTGTGTGTGTACCCATAGTGACATATGAAGAGGGGATTGCATTTCCTCCAATGAAAGACCAACTATATTGGCACCGCGTACGTTCGCCTCCTGAAGATCACAGCCTGACATATTACAGTTCTGAACAAAAATAAAAAAAAGAATGCTGTTGGGAATGCAAGGCATTTTTTAATACCATGGACTGGTTAGGCATTTGCCCCACTGGGCCCATTCCTCTGCCCCACCACCACAGAATAAAGATCAGAACAGAAGGGCCACCCAGCGGTGCAACGTGTCCTCGTTTTTTTTATGCAGTTTACTGGCCAGAAGGCGGTACAGCGTGATTATTGGCCAGAAAATGTCATTGACTGGCTAGCTAAATGGCGGCCAACATGCGTCATGCGCGAGGACAGAAACTTCAAAGCTTCCGACGTAAGTGGCCCTTCTATATGGATCTTTATTCTATGCTACCACCGAAGGAAAAAATGGCCTATTGCCCCAAAGCCAGGGCCCTACTGGACCTGTATTGGGCAAACGAGTTTAACATTGAAAAGAAGTTTAAAATTATAAATGTTTATGCTCATTGTTTGAAATGTTACTAAAATCATAAAATCAAGTCAAATTCATTTCATAAAATGTTGACCGGTATCATAATTGTTTTCATGTTTTCATAATTTGTTGCTGACCGGTATCGCAGGAAATCATACCCCTATCATAATACAAAATTTGTTGGTGAGCATACTTAAACTTATGTTGTGTTTGAATGTTTAGCGTGCAATTTATTACAAATTTCACTATTGAAACTCTATATACTAATACTATCCTGGGGAAGGGCAAGGAAAATGGCCCTTTGGCAGTTTTGCCACACCATTGAAGGATCCTTGCAATGTGCAAGGATCCTAGCAAAATGCAATGTAAGGGACTGGTCATAATTTATCAGGGGGTGGGGAGGTGTAATTCAAAATTTTAAGGAATGATATTTTGTGACCCTGCTTTGCCATAACCCGGAAAAATAATGCTCCCCCCTCTCTCTTGCTCGTCAGTAAAAATGTACCTACCTACTACTAAACCCTGCATTCAATAAATTTTCTAATTGCACTTTAAATTTTCATATTTTGTAGTTGCGCTTTAAATTTTCATATTTTGTAGTTGCGCTTTAAAATTTATATTATACCAATACATAGTCATATATAAAACTTTAGTTTTTTCAAACTTTTCATTCTAAGTTTAAAGAATCAATTTTTTTGAATGAAACTCAAACAAAATGTGAGAAGGCATGTATAAAACGACTAACTAAACTAAAACAGCAGACCTCCTCCCCGCCTTCATAAACTGTCTAATATTTTATAAACCCCCCTTTTTCCTGGTTAAAAAATATGTGACCCCCCCCCCCACACACTGTTTCCACCTCCCCAGCCCTCCTGCTAAATTATGACCAGTCCCTAAGGAAATGGGTAAATCCTCATGTTTCGCACAAGAAAACATTAAACAATTATTGGATGAGGCTGAGCATGATATCAAGAATTATTCAAACCGAGGTCAATGTTAACACCGAAGCGACGCTGAGGCGGATAACGCTTTTGGGTTTGAGTTGTTGGCCGCGCCTGGGCTTGGGCACCACAGCGTCCAATAATTTTTTTTTTGGATGCAAGTTCGATAAAAAAAAACTATTATTGGAGAATTACAAAGTATAAACAGTCTGGGGCGATTGTGCGTGAAATTTGTCCCAAATTACTCGTAAACAAAGCTTTTGTGAAAGGGGGTTTTGTTTGAAAATTCTATATAACAAGTTGTGAGCGGTTACCTCAAGATCAGCTCCCGCCAATATTGCTCCTCTCAAGTTACAGTTCTGTAAATTTGCGCCTTTCATTGTAGCGACACGAAGATTGACCCCGGACATTTGACTCGCTTCAAGATCACAACCTTTCATATTTACACCTAGAAAGGAAATCAGTTGAGAGGTTGGGAATTCTTTTTGTTCTAAATACACCCTTCCTAATTATATAAAGGTCTTTTACATTATATATTGCAACTGTATGATTTCGTAAATGTGTCACCTGCAACAGCCAATCTCGTACCCAGAGCAATGCCTGTGCGCGGGCTACAGTAGGATGGCATTGGATGGCAATGCCATAGATATAGGAGATCTAGATTGCTAACGCATACCTAGCGCAGGCGGGGCCTACATGATAAATCCAAGATGGCGGTACAACAGGGCAAAAATACTATAAATTCTATTACGAAAATGAGGATTTTTGCATTTTTTGCCGTCGCATTGTTTTGAAACTTATTCGGTCACATTTTATGGTAAAGAGAAACTTACCGCGAAGATTTTGAGCATATATATGATTGAATTGGATGAAAATTCGCAAAATTATCCATCGATAAAAGTTCGTGTTATATAGTACTGATATAGTACTATATATGTAACTTGTACAGTTTTGCTTTAATTTTTGCTCACTATTTGCATAAAAAGCAAATTATAACAGACCATAGATGATAGACCCTCATCCAGTGCTCTCTAACAAGCAAGGAGGG